CCGTGGAAGATATAATTCTTCAAGCTTATGATTTAGTCCCAGAAGCTTACAGACAGAAGTTTCGAAACCTAAGAAAATTAGTCAGACTTATGTAGAATATGCTGCTGAGAAAGAGACTGTTACAACGCTGGTTGAGATCTAGAAATGTTCAGACATTCACTGATTTAAGAGTTGATATTATTAGGAGTTAAGCGCTTTGTCAGCGTTGATATAAAATTATAATTAGATGAACGAGAACTGACCACTTTAAGTATAGCAGAAATGTTTGCTGACAATTTTTCATTAACTCATAGTAGACGCAAAACTCAATTATCTTTGTGTTGGAAGGTAGTGAAGTTAGGTGATCAGGGTGCTAGGCCTAGTAAAATTGTGATATCTGCTCAAGGAAAAAATAAAATAGGAGTAGACAAGATTGATTCTTCAGTAACTTGTTTCTATTGCAAGCAACGTGGCCATGTAATCGTTGTTTGCCCTAAAGTAGCTGCTAAAAATGTCGCTAAGGGAGCGACTACGCTTACTGTTGATTTAGTGGAAGAGACTGATGTTAATACCTTCCATAATGTTAAGTCTGATATTTTTGAGCCGTTTATTTTCACGGGATCGGTTGCAAGTGACACGTCCTCACTTAAGAGTTACCCTGTTCGGATTTTGAGAGATACCGCTTCCTCCCAGAGTGTATTAGTTAAGGGTTCTATGCCTTTTGTGGAGAATTTATACACTGGGGAATTCGTAGTCATTCGGGGTTTTGGAGGGACCGTCACTCTTCCGTTAGCGCGGATATTTTTGCGATCAGACTTGGTTGATAGATATCACAGTTGGAGTTCACGACTTTCCTCTTCATGTGAGCGGAGCAACTTTGCTGCTAGGGAATGACATAGTTGGCGAATGCGTTGTGCCTGACCCGATTGTACGCCCTGCACCGTCCGGAGTGAACCCCACAGAATCCCTCGAGAATGAGTATCCGTATCTCTTTCCCTCGTTCGCAGTGACGTAAAGCGTGTCTAAACGCATTGACGAGGAAACTTCTCTGACTAATGTACCTAATTTTGATAACTTGACAATTAGTTCCTTATTTAATGATACAGAGGGTAACGAGGAAAAGCTAAATTCTGTGAGAGGTTAATATTAAGAGTTTACCAATAACTCGTGACATGCTCATTGATGCACAGCGTAATGGTAGAGAGTTATGCAAATATTTTAGTCTTGATGACGATTCACAGCCACTCGATAGTATGTACTACTTAATCTCTGGTATATTAATGCGGAAATAAAGACCTGTTGATGTTCCGGCAACAGACACCTTTACGGAAATTCATCAAGTGGTGGTTCCTTTTCCCTATAGACAGGATGTCATAAGTCTTGATCAAGATACTAATGGAGGTCACTTGGGAGTTTCCCAAAACCTACTATAAAATTCTCAAACACTTTTACTGGCCAAAATTGAACAAGGATGTGTCATCATATAGTAAGACGTGTCATTATTGCCAGGTTGCAGGGAAACCTAACGAAGTAATTCCCCCTGCCTCGCTACACCCCATTCCGGTAGTTGCTCAACCTTTTAGCCACATGTTAATTGACTGTGTTGGTCCATTGCCGAAAACCAAATGCGGTAATCGGTACTTACTGACGATCATGTGTGCTACAACCCGTTACCCAGAGGCTATCCCACTTCGAAATCTGACCACAAAAAGTGTGGTTAAAGCTCTAACCAAATTTTTTACTCCGTTTGGGATCCCGAATAACGTACAGTCTGATCAAGGTGCAAACTTTACATCCAGTCTCTTTCAGCAAGTCATGAATGAATTATCAATTAAGCAATATTTGTCCACTGCTTATCACCCTGAATCACAAGGAGCCTTAGAGAGATTTCATCAAACATTCAAATGTACGTTGAGGAAATATTGTATAGAGGTGGAGAAAGACTGGGATGAAGGTGTTCATATGTCACTGTTTGCTATCAGGGAAAGCAAACAAGTCTCTCGGGTTTTCTCTATTTGAATTGGTGTACGGCCATGAAGTTCGAGGTCCCATACAACTATTAAAAGAGAGTTGGGTATCAGAGGAACACATGTGATGCCATTATTAAAATATGTCCATACTTTTAAGGAGAGACCACTGCATGTTCGGGATTTTGCCATGAAAAAATTGTTGAATGCCCAAGGCGTTATATGAAAGAACAATATGACAAGGTTGAAATAAGAGAATTTGAGCCAGGACAATTAGTGTTACGGTTTCTCCCTCTTTCAAAAAATGGTTTACAATCGAAGTATTTTGGTCCCTATCGCATTAAAGAAGAGGTGATGTGAATTACATTATAGAGACACTAGACCGTAGAAGGCAGGAACGTTTAGTTCATGTAAATCTAATTAAGCCTTATTACAACAGAGAATCGGTGGTGGAGCACAGCAGAAGAGTTTTGTATAGATGGCCCAGTAAAGCTGAACAACAGGGACATTTTGACTAATCTTAACTTAAAATTACAGCATCTGTCATCTCGTCAATCCGCAGAGTTGGTGCTTCTCTTGAAGGAATTCCGGTGTGTGTAGTGATGTCCCGAGACCCTGCAGAGGTGTGCAACACGATATAGTACTGATCGAGAACTCTGCGCCCATAAAGCAGTCTCCTCATCGGCTGAGCCCCGAGAAGCGAAATAAACTTCGGGAGGAGGTGGACTTCTCCTTGCCAACGGACTTGCGGAGTCGAGCGACAGCGAGTGAGCGTCGCCTTGCCTGCTCGTCCCCAAAGCCGATGGTGGATTGCGTCTCTGGACGGACTATCGCAAATTCAACAAAGTAACTCACTCTGATTCCTCTCCTCTACCGCGCTTGGATGATGTCGTCGATGGTATCGGAAGAGCTCAGTTCGTTACAAAAATCGACTTGCTGAAGGGATACTAGCAGGTGGAGCTGACGGAGAACGCCAGAATGATAGCCGCTTTTGTCACCACCCAAGGTCTCTTCGAATACAAGGTCATGCCGTTTGGGTTTAGGAACGCCCCAGCAACTTTTCAGAGGTTGATTAATGGTGTCATTCGAGACTTGGAAGGTGTTCAAGCGTACCTGGACGACCTCGTCATCACGTCGGATACTCGTCGGATACTCATTTTCCTGGTCACGTGGTTGGGGGAGGCACAGTGGCACCCGTCACTGCCAAAGTTGAGGCTATCTTGCAGTACCCGACCCCGATAGACTGCAAGTCTCTACAACGCTTTCTTGGAATGGCTGGTTACTACAGGAGGTTCTGTCCGAATTTCGCTCACATAGCTGCTCCTCTGATAGACTTGATTAGCCCTAAGAAGCAATTTACTTGGATGTCAGAATGTCAAGAATCTTTTGAGGAAATATGAGCCATGCTTACGTCTCCTCCAGTTCTGACGTCACTCTCAGCTAATTAATTCATATTGGTGTATTTTACACATTTTAGGAGTAGGATTGTGTTTTTCTAATCTATATATAATAATGTATTGGTTAATGTGCATAAAACAAATAGTGAATATAGTTACTTTGTTCACCCACGTGTTTTCTTTTTACCCGGACAAAAGTTTGAACTTGCTATGGGCACCAGATAATACCCTAGACTTTAAATGTGCAATAAGTCATGTCTTCGGAAAGCAATCTTGGCAATATCGACGGAGGACTTACGGCGGCCACTAGGGGGAATAGTGTAGCAATGTACTGATACTGCACCTAGTCCACGAGGCTGGTGAGTAGGTCTTCTCCACATTCTAACCAATCCTTATTGTTGACAGGGCAGTTTGTTGGGGAAATGGACCCATTTCCTGTACAAGTAGCATTGAGGTAGGGATGAGAATAGGCAGGACTTTTTGTCAATGAAAGCATTCAGGGCTGATAATGCTTTAGCTTGGGATTCATATGCAACTGTAAGAGGCTGGAAGGAAACTCTGCCTACTTGTTTAGGGGGGGGTATTGCTGGAAGAGGAGCGTTTTCAGAGGAAGAGGCTGTAAAGGGGATCACGAAATTCAATCCCACTTGGCTGGGATAAACGGAGTATTCAGATTTGAAGAGGACGGGGACGTGTGAAGGAGGGGGTGTTGAGAAGGGCGGTATGGCTTTAGAGGAGCAACAAGGGAGGAGAGAATACCAGATGAAGGCTTTAGGGGTGATTTTAAACATTGAGAGAAAAATGTCTGCCGCATCAGCATTAACGACGCATTCAAATTATTGTGATAGGGTTTGAAGATTTCCAGAATGGTCAAAAACAAATGTGCCAGATATCAAAGGTCATACCCTGCACAATTTGCTGAGGCGAGGGCTGATGTCCAAGGCAGGGGTGATCTACATTGGCCTTGGTCTCCATCTCCTAAGCCCCCCATGGCAACAATGAGCAAAGGATTGGGGAGGGGGGGGTGCGAGGGCTGAAATTAACAAAGATAATATCTGTCCTACAAAACTTCTTACTATTTAGTATATATATTTTGTATCTATATGCCTTATTATGGTTACTGTTAGCCCCCTATTCTCACTTCCGGCTGGACGTGAGCGACTGAGCGATGAACTTGTTTATGGCAATGACCGTAGATTTCAAAAACAGTAAAATTATTTAAATTACATTACTAGACTACTAGGCTACTGGTCAATATGGTTTACTTTCTATTTTTCTATGTTGTAATTTTCAATTCAGTTTATTAAAAGTTTATCTGAACTGACATTGATAAGATCTTTGATTTATTTCCTCATACTATACACTATACTTTATAATATATAAATCCTGAGATGTAAACATGCATAGAAAAAACAAGATAACATTCAATTAGTGGTAAATTATTGTAAAACAATTTTTTTGTATAATGACTAATCAAAATTAATGTCTATAAAAAAAACTCAAAACCAGTAAAACCCATTAAAACCCAAACATTAAAAAAAAAAAGTTTTTCCAGCCCTGATCTAAACACACTTTTTTTCTTTACAAACCTCATTACACACTTTCACTCACTGGCAATCAAAAACATCTTCATCAAAAAGGAAGGGAAAGCACGGAGATCTTTACAAAATTTTATTAACCACAACTGACAAATATCAAGAATATTCTGAGAGGAATGTTGAGATTGCAGTTGCCCCATTATCTTGGACTCTCAATCAAACAAGTATGGGCTGATTACATAACCGGTGTTCATTTATATTAGGTAAAAATTCTCATCAAGGACTTTTCACTGCAGTGTGATACTGTTAACAAATTCTTGAATAAACATTTCTTGTTTTACAAATGGAAAGGAAACAATTTAGAGGGTAACCAATTTTTCACTTTTTTTTTAATTTTTTTTCAAAAGCATTCTTACCTTTTCCCCTACATTCTGGCTCATGCGAAAATATTTACCTTGTTAATCTAAGGCTCTGAGCAAATCCTGCAAACAGTGCAAGGGAGATCACAAAAACAAAAAATGAAAAAAACATGAGAATATAACATTAGGGGAACAGAGAGGAAACAGACATGAGGAAATTAAACAAACCAATAGATGAAAAGAGAGGAGAAACGAGTAAGAAGGTATAAATAGGCAAAATTGAGGAAACAAAAGATATTTGAGGGAAAGTCAACACTGGAATTATTTTTCTTCTGGCCCTGTCTCCCTAAACCATTTCCATTCATTTGTACTATCTCACTGGTACAAGTATCCTGTTTAACATACACAAAATTCATACACGAACCACTAGTATATTCTGGTCAATGATGTTTAATGTTCTTCACAAATGTGCCAATTGGTGTAAAAACGTTAAAGGAATGCTTGGTGTAATTCTGTGTGTGTAATCAACAATAACATCAACATCCTATCACTGACCTGATGCTGTGAAATTCATCCATCAACACAAGTGAAACATACATAGCCCAAAGTGATATATCTCAGAGACACACCTCTGTTCTTTTCTTCCGTGTAATGCTGCAAAAAAAACAATCAACTTTTATTCTACTGGGACAGAATCTGCTGACGACATATCACAGCCACAGACATCATTCTATATGGATTTACTGACCTATGTTTAAAAAAGGCATGTATTTCAGGCCAGCATTCCGCATGTGACTCTTTTCGACAAGCTAGAGAACAGATAACTAAGTTCAGTTTGAAATGTTTTAGATTATATAAATGAACTCAATTTTATGTCTTATTTTGTTAAGCAAATAACCAATTACATATGCTTTATGCTGTGATAATAAGATCTTCTCAATAATTGGCATCCTAATCAAATTTAGCTGATATTTTTGCCAAAAGATAATGTACAGGCAATCACCCAAACCCATAAAATTTCACAAATGATTACCAATATATTGCATCCTGCTTAAGGCAGTCGCAATGCAACAAAGTCATTGGACAATATTCTGATAAACCAAGGATATATGTGATAAGTCAAAGAAATCACTGGTCCTGAGCTAATATGAAAATTTTCATACCCACTTGAGCTCATATGCTCATTAACATTCTTATTTTTAAAAACCTGAAAACTTAGATTATGCTTACAAGGGAAATTAAGATTACTTAAAACATTTGAGCTACATGTATGAAAAAAAAAAAAGAGTAAACCATGTAATAAAATAAATCTAAATTTCCCAGATGCACTCATTTTCTACAACTCTGTGTGGCCGTGTGGAGTGCCCTCGTCGCCACTAATGTCTTCAGGTTTAGTACACACAGCTGGTGTGGTCATCTCAAAGAGGTATTCGCATCTGTTTGGCTCCGTTACTCCTGTCAACTTGGTTTCCACACCACAATATATGTGGACCTGAAGAGTAAAAGTTAAAAAAATAGTAAATTCATAAAAGTGATACTGATACACATGTAAAGAAATGGCATCTGAATAAATAAACAAATGATAATACAAATAAAATAAAATAATTATTGCCCAAAAGCTAAAAAAAGAAAAAAAAAAAAAAGAAAAAAGAAAAGTATTACATATAAACTATACCCACATTATATTCAATAAAAATATTTTACATATCAAGGGGCAGTACTTCCTCACCAATAACTTCCAACAAAAACACAAAATAAATATATTAGACATATCTCAACCACTATATTAACCAAAAAACATTCAAAGTAGACAAAGATTCAGTGTCAATGCTACTCACATCTGCTGATCTCGCAGGCCCGTTCCAGCAAGTCTGTCCGCTGGTATATTTCATTCTGCTATATTTATCCTCCTCTGGGCCTGACCATTCACCCCACTGGCCAAGTCGAATTTCCCCATGGCCGGACTTGGGCTTTTGTACGGCCTGTGCGCAGAAAAATTACATGACACCACTGGATAATTGAGGAACGGCACATACATTTAACTACTAAATATATATACTATGAAAGAGTATTTCTCTGAATGTATGTATGGCCAAAATTAAAAGGAAGGCAAATATATACAAATAGGTAGCAATCTAAACAGATCAGCCTATGAAGTTCCAAGTTGCACATTCAGTTGGGCGACCTCAATTATACCTTATCGAACGGACAGAGACGGTACGTATATTCCCTGTCTGTGTATTCATAACAGTCTCCATCCATAACTCTAAATTCCTCCTCAGGACCATAATCTTTTTCTTGAGTCTCCTCCAGCGAGCGCAACTCCCTTGTTAAGTCCCTCACTCTCCTGTCAGCCTCATCGAAGTCTTCTCTGGCCTTATTGGCAGCTGCAAGAAGGAAATAATACAATTACACAACACTGCAGTTCCCACAGACAGACTAATTAGAGAAAAATGTTTGGGAGGGGGGAGAGTGTATGATCAATGCCCATGCAAAAAAAAAAAAAAAAAAGGATTTGCCCTTACCGTCAACAAGCTTTTGTGTTTCTTCATCATATTTCTGGTCGATCTCTTCCTCCTCCTCCTCCTTTGGTATGTCTTCAGCATCATCATCCTCAGGGAGATCATAATCTTCGATTCCATCATCCTCTTCCATATCACCTTCATCCTGGGGTTGATGGAATACAAACTATTATTATGCCTTATGTGAGGAGGAAGCACTTCTCCATAAAATATACATGATTACCTTGTTCAACGTTCAATATACAAATAATAACAAAAATGACAACACATTGTTATAACAATAAAATTGGAACTCCATATCACATGCTTCCAGAAGAAAGCACCATGAGGAAAGTTCCAAGACAACTGTAACCTTGAGGTTGGTTACCTGAGGTAATAACACCTTCTGTAGCTTAATAAGAAATTATATCCCTTGAATTAATTTGTTACCAATTGCCATGTTCTTGCAACTGTCAAATTTCAAGTGCATTTTAGGGCCTAAAAGAACATTTATCAAGTTGAAGCTGATCAGTTATTTTCATTATTTACTTTGTTTTCTTTTATCATCAATTTCTTTCATGAGTGTTTTAGCCCTTTGTCCATACCTGCATGTACTGTTCACTGTATTTTTCTGTGAATTTTGTTGCACAAAGATGGCTCCACAAGTATTCATCCCTCAAGGAGTCAATTAGAAGCCCAATGTGATCTCTCCTGCTTTCCTCATTCCTTGAAGTTCTGATTTTTTTTTTATGCTTTTAACACTGATAATGCTGTTATTATCATTATTGACATAACTTCAATGTTATTAAAATAATAATAGTGATAAGAAACTCATTATCTGTCTGTATTTCAAGGAAAAGGGTAAACAGAAGAAATGAGTAGAACTAGTAATCTACTCCTTTGTGATGAAGTAGTTGTGAAGCCATTTATGTGTAAAAACAAATAAGAAGCAAAAATCACAGTGGATATGGCATGTATGTCATACCATCCTAGCACAAAGGGTTATGCCCTGACCCTTTTTCTGAGGTTTCACATGAGAGACGTTCATAATTTATCTACAGGAGCAGTGTAAAAAACATCTAATTCCACATATATATGGTAAAAAGATGTTACAAGATTAGAAACAAGAATATTTGTATCTAAATAATAACAGTAACAAATAAAAAAAGCTTTAAAGACATTTTATGCACTGAGCATGCCATCTTTTGCAGGATATTATCTTGGAGAAACAACACTGGAAATGAAGTAATGCATTAGAAGTAAGAGAGGGGAGTGCACAGCAGTAGTAGGGTGTACAGTGTATAAGACAAGACTTCCATGCACCAAGAGGTAAAACCCCTCACCGACATGAGTTCCCAATTTGCCCTGGAGTTGACGTAGCGTGATATCTGGTTGGCACATCCAGAGGGAAAGGTTAGGCTTTGTTAGTATCCTGTATTATGGTACTTTCTAAGGGTGGAGTTCCTAGCAAGCAATACATAAAATTCTGCCTTATCATAATTTTTGTCAGAAAATTGACAATTACAAAATGCTGAATATACTGTGTCACTCTTTGTGAATCATTTACATAACACTACACATAAGAACTAAAAGTATAGAATGTTCTTACATGGTTTATACATATATTATAAATTCACATAATCATAACACTGGAGAAAGACTGAACAATAACATGAGTCAACTCCAGTCATACAAAAATAAACAGAGAAAGGGAAAGTGGAATTTTCACACTCACATGCACACACATATCCCACCGAATAGTAAGATACAGAGTGGAATACTATTTTAAAAATTGTCAAAAAAGATTTTCAGTTAAAACAGACAAATCTAGTTGATGTTCTTTGCTTGTCATAAACATGTTCATGCTCAGAACACAAGAAAATAAAAGAGAGGCATCTTGGGCAGGGCATCTTGCCTGTTGTCAGTAGTAGTAGTAGGGCCAATTGACAAATAGTAAGTATTTGTAAACTGAAATACCACTATTAATATCTAAGCACTGATTAACATATCCTTTAAAACAAAAAATGATATTACTAAAAGCCCTAGCTTAAAATGCCTATGGATTCATTTAATAAGCCATGCATTGCAAGTGCAATGATAAATATTTTTTTCCAACTTAATGACAAAAACAAAAAATCCAAACTCTGTTTAGACTGTACTGAAAACGAAAGGAATCAGGATATGTACATAAAGCTTAAGAATGTAAAGTATAGGAATCCAAAACCAAAGCCACATGCAACCACAGCTGGTACCTCAGGGTCCAGGCCAGTGTCAAAGTCCTCATCATCGAAATGTTCATCCTCCTCTCCTTGCTGTTCATCCTGTGAGGGAATACAGCTATGTACAGTTGGTGATGGAAGTCCAGATACCCCACTTGGCTATATGGGCAAGTGTTTTTACTGTGATAATCTATTAAAGAAGGTAGCCATTATGCTATGTGGCTGGGGGCGACAAAAAAAAAAGTTATTGCTACATTACCACATGCCCATAACTTTTGCCATTAGGGGTATCATAACTTGTGTCACTGACTTTACATTGGTACTCTGCCTTTCATATCACTAAAATTTAACACAGAACTTCAACACAATGCAGACAAATATATGTCTGTATCAAAAGTTGGAACATACAAATTATACACAAACAAGCAAAATTGTTACTGAATTTTATATTTCATACTGAAGTGACCTTACTCAAAACAGTAACACACAGGTGACAAGTATGTGTATTCAAGGTGTTGTATGCCATGTTAAAGTACACATACTAATATGTTTCTCATACTCTAATACCTATCTTTGAGTTCAATACATCTTCAGAACTTTTGTTTATCTTGGAATAATATGCATGTTACATTCTTCTTGATAGTGACAAATCCCATAAAATTGGTTGCAGAGCTTTGTTGTGTATTCTCATGATTTTATTGGAAAAGTTGTTATGAATTTCCATAACCTAAATTCCATTTGATATCTGCTTCCTCATAATTTGTGCACAAAATCATAAATAGCTGCAAATTATATACCACAAATAGATTCTAAGACAGAATATCTGTGGATTTTAAGACCAAATAGAAGATAAAAACCCCCTGTGGCAAATGGAACAATGCCTCCTTTATCTGTAAATGTGAGAACGTGTATGTGCTTTAAGTGGTTGAACATGAACTATTTGACAATTACAAACATAGCCTGTGAGTCAAAGTGCGTGTGTGTGTGTATATACATAGAGCTGTATTAAAATCTAATTCTAATGATAGCTTCTCATATTTTGTTTTTTTTTGCCAATACATAAATGTATGAATATTTATGTATGTATGTGTATGTGTACATGTTCAAGTGTGTGCGTCTATTGCTCTCAGACCATAATGGAACAATTTACAAAATAAATCTTTCCCAACATTTACTATCTGCAAATTCATCAGCTTTATCCCTTCACAGTCGTTACCCACCTTGCCCTCAGATCCAGGAACAGGAGGTGGGGTTAGTGCCTCTGCTGGTGCCTCAGTGGTGGGAGGTACAAACATCCTCTGGTCCATCTTGTATGTGGGTCGCATCATGGGCCACCCGGACACCAGGAAGGTTTCTAAGTCCATGGTTTCCTCTTGCCGTAGGTAGAACTGGGAAGGGGTTGGGGGAAAAGAATGTGCTTTCAGGTCAAGGTCTCCCTTACATAGGTGATCTCAGTCAAGATTTTGATAATTGTATGACAAAGTGAACACTACATGTCAGATTTTGTTACTTTAAAAGCAAAACTATATCAAAATAAGTGACAAATAAAATGAAAAATGATCAGAATATAAAAGATATATAAGAAATAAAAAGAAACTAACAACTAATAGCAGCAGGTTTTAACATAAATCACAATCCAAAGAGGCATAAAAGAGAACAGAACTTAAATTACCTTGGCTTCCTCAGCAGTCACCTCTCCATCTCTGTTTGTATCAAAGGTCTGCCGAGACTGGAGTTCAGCGACTGTCAAAATTCCATCTCCGTCATTGTCCAGGTGAGCAAATGCCTCTCGGGCTTCAGCTTCCTCCTTGGCCTTCTGTTCTGCGTCAGCCTTGGCCTTTCTTTCCTGCTCAATGGCATTGTATTTCTCCAGGGCCTCCTTCTCAGGCTCCTCAACAAGCTTCTTGATTTCCTCCTTCTCATTTCGGGCGGCTTCTGCTTCCTCTCTCTCTTTCTTGAGCTCATCTATTTTCACCTGGAGAAAGAGTTAGACTTTATCATCAGCCCATGGACAGTACTAGTGGAGTGAAGAAATGAAATCCAAAATGGACCTTTAATTGTCCTGTGTCTATAAAATTGTCTTAGGTGCATGTGGACATGCAACAAAACACAGCAAAAAGTGCATGTCCTAGTACTAATGGGCAAAAAAAGAAAAAGAAAAGAAAAGAAAGAAAGAAAAAAAAAAAGATTAATTATGAGTTCCAAAGGTTGAATTTCAATGTTTATTTACCAATGGACAATTCTTATTAAGGAGTACACCAGCACAAAGAAGGGTAACTCAGGATAAGTGTAATGCATGATGTTAAGAGTTATCTGTAATTCTAGTTTACTCTTTTGACTAAACTATGAAACAAGGTGATGTCTCATGCTCAATATCTTTTATATTTATCTATTTATATATATATATATATATATATATATATATATATATATATATATATATATATATATATATATATATATATATATATATATATATATGTATATATAAGTATATAAATATAAAAGTATATAAATATAGAAGTATATATCATATATATACCTAAAGAAAAGGGAAAAAGAAAATAATAGGTTATGTCTTGAACAATGCATCCTTTCACGCAACTGAAATTCAATGTATCAAACAAATGTATCAAACTCTTAAGCTCGAAAAACATTAACCCCTTCTCTACTGACCTGCATACCACACTATAACAATCTGTTGCTCTGCCATAACAATTAAGCCATTGTAGGTTTTCAAGCCAAACCCAAGCTATTGACTGAAATTTTACGCACTCATGATCGCATATACCCAACAAGAAGTTACACTTGTAAAAACAAAAAGACAGAAAAGGTAAATACAAAATTACATTGAGAGGGAGTAAAGCTACATCGATTGCAAAATAATCGATTGCAAACTATTAGTCATCACAAGATAAAATATTTCCTGTTGCTTTTTAGGGTTATACATGTACTTCAGCTGCAGATCTGGTATGACATGGGCCTTTCTAGGCTGTGTATGCTTATTCAACAATAATTTTTGGTAAAGAAGGGGTTAACAATAAACATTTCAGAAACGGAGAAGAGGCAAAGGAGAAGAATCAACCTTTGGGAATTTTTCTATTTACTTTTGGTCCCTTTACTCTTGATCGTTAAAAGGTTAGGATTGCTGCAGGAATGGGACTTTCTTAGACACAATCTCAAGCCCAACATGCAGAAATAACAGAAAAAACCCACTTCAAGTCTTATTTAATCCTTAAACATCCCCCTTCAAATATTGACACAACAGGGACAACATTCATCCCTCCCCCACAAAAGGATAAATTAAAAAAAAAATACAACAAAAGAAAGACAAAGAAAGAAAAGGAAAAAAAAAAAAAATAATAAAAAATGAATACAGGCTGTTCAACCTGGAGGTCTTTCTTCAGCTGTTTTCTTTTGGACCGTAGCTTCCCCCTTGACTGAGGTTTCCCAAGGAACTTCTTACTCTTGGTGCTACCTATTCTATCCCCGCTTCGCAGCCTTTCCTCCTTTTTCTCAAGCTGATTCTTAACCTTTGCCAAGGTACTCTTCCCATTACGCGGTTTAGACTTGTGCTCTTCGTGAATCCTCTATAAAGTTTTGAACAAAGAATGGAAGGAAGAGAGAAAGGAAAAGAAAATAGAGAGAGAATAAAAAACAGGAACATCTTGGTATGTGTACAATCTCAATACAGACAAAACACTGCCTGAATGATTACAGCAAACATTCATATTCATTCAAGTGATACAGAAAAATAATAATGAAAAATAAAATATGAGGAATTTCTTCATTCACATTAAAAACAAACGTGTTATAGATATTTAAAGAAATAAAAGAAGAAACAAACTGGATAAGGCAATGAAAGCAACAAACAATTTTTTATGAACACAGCTAATATACTACTTGTAACTTATTTCCGAGTTATAAAATTCCTTAACCAGCAAAAACCAATTGAAGAAATTACTATCAACACGTAAACCTTTACCTCAGCTTCCTTCTTTCGTTTACGGCCTTCTTCTATCATCGACTGCCGCATCTGGAAGCCTTTCAGTCTCTCCTCTTGTTGCTTGGCAGCTTCCTCCCGGGCTGCGCGGCCAAGCTCTCGACACGTGTCAACACAATTGGAGACCGAGGCATACTCATCCGATGCATCACAGCAGTCGCAAACACCATCATTTACTCTGGATGATGGGATGTTGAGGGGGGAGTGGCCAACATTTGTGCAGTGAAAGAATCCTGAAAGCATTTGATTAAAATTAATTTACTAACATAATGGCATTGCCACACACAAACAACTTGACATTGCTTGGAAGTAGAAGAAAAAAGTTCCTGATTTCATTGCTTTTATGATAAAACATTCCCATTAGATCCTTTCAAATATCATTCACATTTCTGGAAACAAGGGAATGTTAAACTTCTATGATAAATGATGCAATACAAATATGACAACTTGAAACAAATTCCAGCCATTTGCAGACCAAGTATACTAACCATTGGGACAAGCTGATGTACCAGGTTCATCACTGCCATCCTGACAGTCACAGTAGTCGTCATTAACATACGCAAAAGGGATTGTTCCTGATCCATCTAAGCAGTTGAAGTCTCTTGTTGGGTCATAAAAAGAAGCTTCTGTAATTGAAAAAAAAGAGGAAAAAGTCAGTATCAACTTAGCTAGGATAATTTTTCAGAAACATTCATTTGTTGTAGTACACTGAATAGATTCTGGAAAAAGCTATGAATCAGAACAACTCGTATAACAGTATATCTGAATAAACTACCACTCAAACCCTTTGGATTTAATAAAAGTAAATAATACTGCCTTTGTAATTTTGGTCTTAAATGACATGATAATCCCTCTGATTAAAATTATATGATCTTTTAACATTCAATTTATCTTTTCACTGAGAGAAACAGACAAAGCAGAAGGATTTAATTACCTGGTTCTACATAAATGAATAAATTTACTTTCGTTTACTCTCAAAAGAGATATACATTTGATAAAAATTACAATTACAAAAAGAGCAGTCAGTATAGTTTAATTAGTATGTTTGTTATATCAAATTCATTAAAAAGTAGTATGCTTTATTTCTCTATATTTAACCACCAGAGACCACTACAGCCACCACCAATCCCTGACTTCCCTTCTTCCAGGACCCTAGCCTCTCATTTCTTTCAAGCTCACTCCTGCGTAGATAAACTATAGCAACATTTGACTCTAGTAAAGTACAAGTAGAAGACTGACTTTCATGATACAGAATAACAAATCGATGAAATAAAGCTTTTTCACTGATTATAAAGTTTCCTGCAGGAGATGAAAATGAAAAGTTATGATATAAAAACATGATACTTATAGTTCTTTGAACATTCCTTCTTCACTGGTTAAACAACTGATTTTCTATTTAATTTTGTAGAAAATATAGAACCCTAAATATATTATTTTGCAATGTGAAAAGTTTTGATTTCAAAAGAAAAGAATTCCCGTGATAAATACCACAACCAAAGTTTACCTTGCACCATGTGGTTGTGTGAAAAACAATACCACTTTTTTCCCCTCTCTTTATGATGGTCATTTGATTTCCCCTATCTTAGAGTGGTCATTATGTAAATGTATATCAAATTATTACTTATGGCAAAAATACACACCTTTACTGAGTGAATATGCCATGTGCAACTACATGAATAAGAAAAAAAAAAAATTCTGAAGTGACGTCACATATTACAAAGTACTAACTATCAATATTGGTTAATGTTACTGAGTGAAGCACAGAGCATAGAGTATAAAAGATACAAGTAATATAAAACACAGGTACAGCTGCTCTAGCCTCATATTTACCATGGAATGACGAAAATATCCATTCCTTATCAATGCTCATATTTACCATGAAATGACGAAAATATCTATTCCTTATGAATGTTCAGAGACTAAGTCCACAATTCTTAACCCATTACCGCGGGGGAAAATGAACAAAAAATGGGGAAAATGCTGGGCCTATTTTCTATATTTTTTTGTTAAATGTCTGCCCACAGATGGCTCTGTTAGCGCCTTATTTGAAATGGCAGGAAAGACGTATTTTTCATTAGTCCCAATAAATATCGATGGTGTTATTTTCATCATAAACATTATAATTTTTATAATGTTATTTAACATTAGTATCAGCAAAATAAGATAACGTAAAATATTTCGTAAATCAAAGAAAAGGGTGAACGGGCGAGACAGGTGGTACTCGTAACTGGCTCATTGGTAATTTAGTACAAGTGTAGCCATCTATGTGTAAAAACAATCCAATAAGTAATCTCACAGAGGGCATAGCATGGTATGCCCGGCGGGAATGGGTTAATGTTGCATTTTCTGTAACCTGGCATGAAGTGCTAATAAAGGTGGGTATAGGGTGGGGGTTTTTGCTCCCCCTGTCTAGGAAATACATAGAAGGTATGAAAGGTTAGGAATGGATTTTTTGGCTTGCATTATACTCTGGTTTTGGGACTTCATCTCGAAGGGTGCATCTCTCTCAGTAATAAATACCTCAATTTTATAAGATGATTAGTGTGGAACACTTAATACTGCAAAGAAAGAATGCATACATCATATGGCTTTATGATGCCAAAGTGATTATATTTATGGTAACAATGCAAAGTATTGACTAATTTTACTGAAGTAGAGCACCCAATGTCGAGTCTGTTTGACGCTTTCTGCTGCTGTGAATACGTGGAGGAATATTTGTTTTCCTGGGCATTCTGCAACATAATTTATAAATATTTGGGTAGTAGAGAGAGGAACCCATTGATTTGGATTGGTCATGCGAAGGTATTCTGAAGATTTACCTTACTTCCTTATTATCAACTTGACGGATATGCATTTTCAATTTTTCCATCCTATCCATTATAGGGAAAGTTTACCTTGTACCCCATGATTGTGTGAAACAAAACAAACCACAGCTGGCATGGCTAGACCAACACCTCTAAATACCAAAGAATAAAACTTATAAAATCTACTTTGAATATCTCACTCTCATGTCCGCGACCAGTACCGGTAGACGCTATCCACTAGAGTTTGCTGAAGTAAAAACAACTCAAATTCTGTACAAGTAACGTGACTTTGGCCATAACGATAAATCTGCTCGCAATTGAAGATTCATAATTAATGAAGAACCTCGAGGAAAATACCAGCCACATTCCTCCGAAGTTGCAAACGCATTCTTAACATAAAACTCACTCGATAAGGCCACTCCTCTCGGCCTTAGCACCTCAGCTGCTTTAACGACAGCCCCCGATGCCAAGCAGAGCATAGAAAGAGCTAAAATGAACTTCATCTTAGAGGTTTTCGCGAGAGAGGATCTGCAAACACCTTCCTTCGCCGGCGTCTC